AGTTCTTACAATGGGGGTGCAAGAATGGTCGAAGAGGAAGAAGGGTTAGAGCTAGGAGATGGGTTGCCCGAAGGGAAGCTTCAGGAGCCCTACTACGATGGAGAATGAGTAAAATGGTAGAGGATGTCTGGAGATGATGCCCTGGCTGCCCTTATAAAGAGTTTGGGGCTAGGGCACATATAAAGTAGTAGGTTCTCCTGACCAAAGGGTTGTGAGCATGAGGGAGGACCTAGCTAACTTGGTTTGCAAGCTACACCATCTTGTAGAGTATGTCCAAGCTTGGCTGTCATCATGGTCTTGTGGCCACGTCGCGGCATGGTGTGGCGTGGTGCTACTATGCCGGCCGTGGCAGCACTGTAGGCACGCTTGAAGTTCGTCAGCCGTCCTGTGCGATGTGGTTTCCCCCGTGATTTCCGCATCGTCTCCTGGTTTTCTAGGGCATCGTATAGGAGTTGGTAGCTGTCCCCAGGTCGTCGATCGCCTCGTTGGGTTGAGGAGCTAGGAACCACGATCCCAGTCATTGGGGTCATGGCTCCCACCGGTCTGAATGGCCTCTAAGTCAAGGCCCTCATCATGGATCCCATCGCATAGGTGGAATCATACCTACGTCTTTTCAGACTATATTTGGACGGTGGGCTCTGTACCGGCCATCACTGACGTGCGGTGTTGTCTTGTCTATGCAGTGTGGCACAGGGATGGCGTCTAACCGGACCAAGGTGATTGTTGTCCCCTCGGTCCTTGTGGGGTCAGTGTGGTGTGCTTGTTCTTGTCATAGCAGGCATACTTGGCTGGGCATGACTCTCCCCATTCCTCACAGGGGTCGTGACAGGGGAGAGGTCGTGCGCCTCCGAGCGTTGTGTGGCTAAGGCAGGAGGAAAGGGTCGTGATGGACCCTGGCCTTGGCGTCCGGCCTGGTTCGCTTGGCTTAGCTAAGTCTCGGTCGTTCGGACCTTTGTTAGCAGATATATTGCGGGCCGCATGGCCTGCTAACTAATCAGTGTCCTGAGACACCCGGGGTTATAACCCCGACACATAGCATCCCACAAACATATATCATTTCAGACACACACATAGATAGAAACATACACCATCGAAAGACATATATAATCTTTACCAATTAATAGATGGCATGATAGCTGTCATCTACAAGTTCTAGATAAACAATTAATAATAATAATAGATGTGTTGACAACCAAAATTGTTTAAAGTGCATAACGGTCTCCATCATCATTTTCTATCATCAAGATGGTCCAAAAGCATACTTGGATCATTGCATTTGGAACCCGGGCAAAGAAAACAGTTTTTTGGAGATTGGCCCAGCCAAAATCGGCTTAGCCGACTCCCTCCCAACTTTCTCAAATACAGGAATGGACTGCATCATTGAGTTCCTTTCGTCGAGCTGATCGAAAACATATATTGTTCGTCTCATTTGGAGTCCCAGTGATTTAATTATGAATTTCAAAAACTCTTTGCCATGAACCCACGAGAGTCGGCTTAGCCGACTTTGGCAGTCCTAGATCGGATTTAAAATGCATTTTTATGTGTGTTTGCAAGTGTTTTCGACCCCTTATGAGATAAGGCAACCCTTATGTTATAAATATAAGGTTCGCGACCGGTGCGCCTAACACGTACGATCGAACAAAAACCAGTCTATTTTTATCTCTCTCTGCCCTAGTTGAGACTTCCAACACTGATTGAGAGAGAGGAATGAAGGTGCAGCGGTGAAGATTTTATCTACCATATATATCTCTTATTATCAAACCGGGAGAGTTTGGCCGCCAACCAGACGGTCCACGTCGCCCCATTTTTTTCGTCCGTCCGATCTCCCGTCATGCGGTCTAGATTGATTGTAGTCGCTTCCGTTCGGAGCTACTTCTTGTAGCTCCTCGTCATCCTCTATAGGTTCTGCTGCTTTTTTGTGTCCTGCTCCAACTTCTCGTCCGAATCCGCAGAAACATATATATTACCTGGCTTCTGCTTCCCCTTCCCCAAGCTTCTTCCTCCCGACGCTTCTCCTCGGCCGCACCGTCCCCAACCCGCTGAGCGACGCATCCGCCCCTGCCCTTGGCCAGGCTACCCCCCGGCGAGGTTGCCACCGACGGATGCCGTGTCCGCCTCTCCACCCCCGGATCGGCACCTTCGCCTGGCCGGCCACCCGCCGCCGCGACGGTGGCGGCAACCTAGGGTTTCGTTGGCCTGGTCGGCCAGCCACCGCCGCGACGGTGACGCCAACCTAGGGTTTCGCCCGCGGCTCAGCTCGTCGGCCATACCTCCTGGTACCTCACCCTCCCCTCCTCCTCCTAATCTGTCTCATCGCTCCTCCCCATGTCCTCTCTCCATTCATCTCCCCTTTGCACAGGTGATTGGCCGGCACTGCAGCTTGCGCTGCCTCCCTGGCACGACGACCCTCGATCGCGACAGTCCCAGCACAGGCGCCCCTCGCCGCGGTAGCTTCAGACATGGCAGCCCTGGCACGGACGCCCCTCACGCCACGGTAGCCTGGCCAGGCCCCAACTGATGCTGTCCTAGCGTGGTGACTCTGCTTCGCCGGCCTGCTCCCCGCCGCGCTCCTACTGTAGTCTGCCTTGGCTGCAGTGGACTGCTATCACCTCCCACAAGACCAGCAACTGCCACCAATGCCTGCTGCCGGTACCGTCTCCCTTGTCATCTATTGTTATCTTCGCATTGTCGCCGCTGCAGCTCGATTGGCAATCCATTTGGTTTAGCTTCCCTGTAGATCAAAGCCTATCAACTGGTTCATGATTCGTAAGCCCAGCGCAAATTTGGTGCATTTTCCCCCTTTTGGATGCTGCATTGGATGCACTGTCTATGAAGCTGCACTGGATGCATTGTTTATGAACTATGAGTTTGTTTATTGAATGTTGAAGACAACAAAGGGAATGGACACATGAACAACACATAATTTCCCAAGTTTTAAAATTCGTGTTTAGTACTATATGCATGTGAAGCCTATTGCTTTTGCTGATGCCACATATAGTGATGTCTCCCTATCATGTCACAGCTTCCCATGATATCTTACAGCAGATTCGCTCTTGCTAATTTGGCCTACAACTATGTAATATGTTATTCTAATGCCACACATTTACCTAAATAATTCCACGCACATATGTTGCTTTATACTTCAAATTCACAGCAGATTTCAGTGGTATATGCATCCTATTGTTGGTTTCTGATGGCTCATATAGCGATGTCACACTGTCATGTGACAGTCGGCCACATGATGAAATTCTTTGGTAGTCTAAAGCCTGTGATGAAAATGACCTCTCATATTACCTGGGAACATAGGTTGATGATCTTCAAAGCTCCACAACATGTTCATATAGCATCTCCTTTCCTATGTTCGGTCGGATGCGATCTATTACAGTTTTTCCCAGTACATAGCTCTCCTCTCCTCGTATCTATATTCTTCTCTACATGTGCCGACAGTTTGCTTTTTTTTCCTATGCTGCTTTTAACTCCGTTTTATGCTTACACACCCACAAGAGATCAGATGATTTTGTTTGGTTCATTTTTCAGCCTACCTCTTGCTGCCCTTCGTTCTCAGATTTTGATTCGTTGTTAATCAGGTCATTGTTTACCTTCTCTGATTATGGTCTGTCTTTCCAAATAGTTACAGAGAGGCCAATGGCATCCAATGCTTCTATAGAGATGGCAACCTTTAAACTAAAAGATTTCAGGTACATCCCCATTTCAGCATGTTATCTTTATGAGGCACTTAGTTTTCTTATCATACCGCAAGACTCATCTAATTAGACACTACGACATCTATGTTATGTTGCGGCATACTGATAGTTTATTATGCTCAGATCAAATTTGATGTTGCCTCTCCAACACCATATGCACAGTATGAGATCCGACGCGTTACTATCCTGTTCGAATCAGGTCTTTATTATGGTTGAGGTTAGATATTCTTTTCGTTCAAAATAGGTTTTCCTTACTTCTGGTTTCCTCCTCTAGAAGTGAATTGGCTTTCACCCAGTAGTCTCATTAACTACTACTATTGTTCTTCCCTCTACAGATCGTGTTTACCATGATTGAGTGCCATGACATTTTCTGGTTGCTATATCTTAAAGGTATGAGCAGTGGAGATTTCGGAGTTTGTAGTTCTAAGCGGTTGTCAACGCCGCTTAAATGGCAACTAATATGTGCTGCGCTGGCTTCTTGTTTTCCTAATTTTATTCCCATAATTTAGGTACGTATTGCTAACTTACCGTGAACATCTGGGTTAAAAAAACCTCCTCCAGTCATCGCTGCTTTTTCATGTCTCTCTTACATCATTCAGTTCCAAATTGGATATGCCTAAGAAAACAAATATAAGCAGTTAATTCCTAGGAGATATTCATTTGTTTTTTGTATGGAAGCTATTCCAACTCAGAATACATATATGTTTTTGCTTAGTTCAGTGCCTTTTCTAATTAATCTAGGAGTATGACCATAAAAAGTATCGTAAGTACCTCACTGTGTATTCTCAATGAGTGAACTAGCCTGCCTGCCGCTATTTATGAAAATAGTAGACATCAGAGATTCTTAATTCTGAAAACTGGAATATGTTTTCATGAATCTTATACCGGCCACTTATGAGGCTACTATGCATCTGTGGAAAAAAACTATGTTTCATAAAGTGAATTGAGGACAAGACTAGGTTGCCCATTATTAGTTTTCTCTGAATATGTAGATTTTCTTTCATCCAGTGTTCCTGTTCTCATGGGAATTGCTCGAGCTCGAGTTGAACATCTTATTTCTAGAAGACGGCAAAATCTAGATTTTACCATCCCATCAATTTCAAGGTATAAACGTTGTTACCTGCACGGTTTGATTTTCGTTTAATCGCCGGCGCGCGCGAAGACGCATATGATGGACTAGTACCCTTATTGTTTATACCATTTACTGCCTCCTCAAATGGCCACGTCGACGCTTCGTTTGGTCCGTCCGATCCCATCCACCCTAGCCACGGGTCCGCGTGTGCGGCTGCCGGCTGCTTAGGGGCGCTTCCTCCTCGGCTCTCCTGCGCCGCTTCGCCCCCTCGTGGCACCTGCCTGGTTCACCCCTCCCTCTTTCCGGCTCTGTCGAGCCCCGGCGCGGGCAAGCGCCTCGCACGGCAGGCGTTTGGGCTTCCAACTTTGGCGCTCCGATTCTGATGCCATCCCTAATTTATCTCCTCCTCTCAGATCTCGGAGGACCCAAAGCCTTGATAGGCCGTGGACAGCGTGGTTAACCCTCGCCGCTGCCTCCTTCGACATGGCCAGAGGTTCCCAAATTGTCAGGTACTCCAATTTTCCCTCTTTATTTTTCTATTATTTCACTTTGCCTCTCTGATTTTTTAGAATGACCACTCTGATTTCCCCCACCAAAATCTTATTGCTATATACCAAAATTTACTTGGTTTACTATTGTTACTCTAGGGTTTGGGCTTCCATGCCTGCTGTGGCGCTATTGGACACCTCCGTCCGTCTACTAAGAGGCTGTGACCAATTGAGAGTCCAGAGTCCAGAGCTCATACGTAGGTGCTCTCATCTGAAACACCTCACACCCCTTTTACTTTAGTTATCTGCTGTCTTGGTGATGCTCCCCCCTATGTATGGTCTAATTCAGGGTGCTTTACTGAAATTGGGTTACCTGATGGAAATAGAATTGTAGTGCTTCTTTCATATGTCAATTTATAAGGAAATTGTCATTGTAGCCCTGTTTGATTAGGGGTATGCCATTACTGTGATTCCATAATTCTGTGATACCGTGCAAAACTCATAATCTCATGTAAATGTCAACGAACTCCTGTTGCAGCATGGTATATTGTGTCCTTCGAACTAATAGAACCCTAATATCTATTTCCTAAAATAGATTGATTTGAAATGCTTTATGGATCCTCTACTCATAATAGATAGCATTTTTGGGGGTTTCTGTTTGTGCAGGTCATTAATGATTGCTCCAGTTCCAACTATGACAAAGACCAGGTCGTCTGCCGCTGCTACTGGCGAGCTGTTTGCCACACAATGTACAGGTCAATTGTTTGGTTCTATCCAATCATATCAAGGTGAATTATTGAACTCTACAAGTTTTTGTTGGGTCCATGTCATGGAGTGTCACAGACTCTCAGTTTACATATGCCTCCATGTTCCAACATTTGCTTCAGTGCTTTCCACAAGATGACTGAACATTGCCAACTTTACATAGTAAACTTTGGTACAACCATCTCCATGTATTATCAGAATTTAGAAACAGTCCAGTCCTCAAAATTAGTAAAATATGTTTTCAAATATAATTTAAATCCCTTGATCCATTCATATTAGTATAGTTTCTCAGTTTAACTTGAAGCCCAACTTGATTTACTAATATATTAGCTTCACCATTTTCGAGAGTACCTATAATGTATCCTTCACTCACTTTCTTTTTGCATATTTAGGCTTTTTACCCATACTAAACACACACATCTCCAGGATTTTGATTTTACTTCCTGTCACTTTTCAGATATGTCAGCGAAAGCTTCCATTGAGCCATTACCTACAATTGAGTTTGTTGCATAGCTGCTGAATTCTGAAATTTACTCCAGCCCACTCTCAGATGCAGAACAGGTGAGGGTGTTCTCACTGATATGTCATTTTCCTGATATTTCATCTCATACGAAGAACAATTGCTCAAATGAAATATTGTGTATTGCCTTCAGCGTAAAATGTATAGTTATTGATGGTTGAATCTAAAATTGTTCGGACATAAAAAATAGGCAGCGCATGAACTTAATATATGCATTTCCTTTTTGGTGCAATGGAAATTGGGGGTATGTCCACCACACACCAGTGCTCTACTTTTTTGTTTCTTGACGTTGACATTTAGTATAATGTTTCATACTGTTTGTACTTACGATTGTTAATACAAAGTCATTACCTGTGTTTCACTCATAACTTTTTGTAACCAGAATTGTGGACTTCAAACTGCCGAGCCTTTTCCTTTTGGTACTCATATGTATCTTAAATACATGATCCCATTGTTTAAAAAAATGCAGAGCTTTGCATAAGTGATTCGACTTTTGCCTTTAATTTTCTTCATCACATGCAGCCTCTTGCATAAATTAGTTACCAAAAAACTTCAGTTAATGATTAAATCTATCTTTTTCAGTTCTGTTGCCAATTTGGAGTTGCCAATTTGATCCATGCCAGTGTCAAGAAATCAGGTACTTCAAAGTTACCATGATTACTGTGCTACTAAGTACTTCTAGATCGCCTAAACATTTTCCTTTTATAACAGGTCATAAATTTATCCATGCTGTTCCTTCCCAGATTTAGTTTGTGTATTCTCTGCTGAATCATTTCCTTTCATACTAGAACTTCCTGATTTTGAAGCTATCATTGTGTTCCAAAAAAGATAAGGGGTTATCTTGCCTCTTTAAATCTCATATTTTTCCCTGTGTTGATCGAAATCTTAGTGTTTGCCTATGTGTCGTCTTCGTGTTCTCATTCCTCCCAGAGCATGGTAAGGTCCCTAGCTGCTGATTCCTCTGCCCACAGCACTTAGTTCTTGAACAAATACCCCCCAGGACTAAAGCCTGCTTTTTTAGCAAACAAGGCCCATGTGTTCCATGCCAAAACAAAATCAACGCAGATTAAACTCTTCGTTTCCGCTTTTTGTTACTCGGTACTTTAGTGCGTTTTTCATGATCATCGTAGGTTATCTAGCTTCTCGGACAGATTTGAACATAGAATTACTATTTTTTGCCATAGCTAAAAAAGGTAACCAATAGAGGTATTACAAACTAAAATAAATCTAGCGTGTTATCTGAAGCTGCTGACCCTATATGTGCATATATAATGTCTTAAACATCTTTTGCTAATGTCTGTGCTAATCTTTTCATTTTGCTTCACAGGAAAATCAGCTCCATAGATGGTGCCCTATTTTATATTCTTCGAAATGATGGGATAAGTCTCATGTGCTGGTCTTTGTGAGGCTGTGCTGGTCACATGGTCTTTGTGGTTGCATGGTCTGTTTTTAGGACAGCATCTTAGACTAGAGGATAGCATCTAGGACAACATCTTAGACTAACATCTAGAGGACGGCATCTTAGCATCTACGACAGCATCTTAGACTAGCATCTTAGACTAGCATCTTGATATATGCTTGGCTGGCTAGCAGCCTATAAATATGTATCCCCAACCCCTCGGGTTGGCATGGCATTAGTGTGAGAAATAAACCAAAAAATTACCCCAACTCCTAGTGTCATTCTCTCTCGATGAGAGTAAGAATTCTGTTACTACCAAGAGTAAGAATTCAGCGACTAACAACAACTGGTATCGGAGCTGTACTATCCTGTAGTCTGAGCATCTCCTGCTCATTTCCTCTCCCAGCCCCTAACAAATTTGTTGGCTATAAAGAAGCATTCTTTTCGGCCGCTCCTCACCCCCCTCTCCCTCTCAAGGCACTGCTCTGGCGCCCTCTCCCACGCACGCAGCAGCCCCTCCGATGGCTGGCGTCATGCCCGCAGGCGATCTCGGCCTTCGGTCGTCTCGAGCACGCCGGCGCCGGCAGGAGGCCAAACTTGTCTGCGCAGAGGAACGCGAGCGATGGCAGCCGCTATGGGGCGGCGAGGCGGCGGCAGGCCAGAGCGGAGGCGGAAGCGGGCGGCGGCGGATGCAAAGACGGCGGCGGCGAGAGAGGTCGAGCCTCGCATGGCAAAGATCAGCCAGCCTTTCACGACGACAAATGCCGACGCGGACCTCGAGTCGCTTGGGGAGGGAGGCAGGACGAGCGAAGCGGTGCGAAGGCGCACAAGACGCCCACGGCAGCGGCGGCGGCAGCCAGACGGCGCGGACGCGCATGGCCGGCGCGCCCTGGAGGAGGCGGCGTGGCGGCGGCGGCGCTCTTGGAGGAGGCGTGCACGGCGGTGGCGCTCCTAGAGGAGGTGCGCACGGCGACGATGACGGACGGATCGACGGAGAGCGCGGCCTTCACATGTAGAGTGTCTCTCTCTCCCCGGATCGGTATCGTGGTTACCACGGGCTCCAGGCTGTTGTCAGGGACGTCGGCCCCAGCGGTGGGTGGCCTACCCTCACTAAGACCAACTACGTCGAGTGGGCTGCGGTGATGAGGGTAAAGCTCCAGGTGCGGCACATGTGGGATGCCCTCATCGCTGCAGTCCCGCCCGAGATGCAGTTCTCGCTTACCAACAAGCGGACTGCCAAGGAGGCTTGGAACGCCATTGCTGCAGCACGCATCGGCAGCGACCGCGCCCACAAGTCCACACTGCAGGCACTTCGCAAGGAGTGGGAGAACCTGGCCTTCAAGCCAGGTGAAGACGTTGATGACTTTGCTCTCCGTCTCAACACTCTGTTGCAGAAGATGGTGCAGTTCGACGATGACACCTACGACGAGGAGAGAGCTGTCGAAAAGCTCTTCCGCTGCGTTCCCGAGAAGTACAAGCAGATGGCTCGCTCGATCGAGTCTCTGCTGGATCTCTCCACGATGTCGATCGAGGAGGCGATAGGTCGTCTCAAGGTCGTCAACAGCGATAAGTCACAGTCTCTCTCGGGGCCCATCACCACTGGTGGGAAGCTCCTTCTCACTCGGGAGCAGTGGCTTACCAGCCAAGGTGACCGGAAGAAGGGGGAGCCTTCTTCCGCGACAGGCGGCCGCAAGCGTGGTGGCAAGTGCGCAAGGAGCGCAGAGACGCCTGTGTCGAGGCGCGAGGACGCGTGCCGAGGGTGATGCCCGCGAGGCGCCAGGCGGCGCGCCGCGGCAGTACAAGCCGCAAGACGAGACGACACCGCCAGAATCGGCGGGCAGCCATTTGGCCATTGGGCGAGGGCGGTACCACGACGCGGCCAGCCCACGTCGACAAAGTGAGGAGTCGGCTCTGTTCATGGCGCATGCAAGCATCGAGCTACCTTCCGCGGCACCTGCCGCAGCGGCCCTCCTCCACCTTGACGAGCCAAAAGCACACGCCCTCCTCGGCGACGGCTCCAGCAACGACAAGACTGACGGGTGGTGCATCGACACCGGCGCCACCCATCACATGACCGGTCGACGGGAGTTCTTCACTGAGCTTGACTCTAGCGTCTGAGGCTTCGTCAAGTTTGGGGATGCCTCCGGCGTGGAGATCAAGGGCGTCGGCTCCGTCATCTTCACCGCCGTGTCTGGTGAGCATAGGCTGCTCACCGGAGTCTACTACATCCCCGCGTTGAGGAACTTCATCATCAGCTTGGGACAGCTGGATGAGAACGGTTCACGCGTGGTGGTTGAGGATGGAGTCATGAGG